TATTTCTATCAGGAAAGGGGTAAAAGATAAGCCCAGAAAGGCCCCATCACTCCTCCTGAGCACTAGCTCTCTTGAAGGAGCCACCATAAAGAGAATGGTGAAGTTTAGTCCTAATGGATTTACTTTCTCCAAGACTGAGTAACTGATCTGGGATATAATACATAATTCATTCACTTGGGTTTATAAAAATATATATATTCTACAAGTCATTCAGAAGAAAAATAAGCATGGTTCTGTGGCATGAGACCATGGAAAGGGAGGATAACCAAAGGATGGTGAGGCTATAAAAAACACTATTCAAATTTACCAGTTGTAAATTTTCTTAGTAAGGAATTAATGAGAAAAGTCTCTAAGGAAGCTTATGTGGCAACACTCATGAGCACTCTTGATTAGATTGAATCAGATTTTCAGAGAATATATGCAAAGTAGACAAAAAGGTGTATAACCAGGAACTGGTCTACCAGTAAGAATCGTTCCTGGAGCCAAAACCCAAATGTGCTATGCTGAATAAATAAACATTATTTTACAATACTATGTCTAGAGTAAGAAATTGTTGTGCCCAGGTAGATCCTGCTGGTGGATGGTCAAGAGACAGTTTCCTTAACTCCTACTTTGCTTCTGTCCTCTTGGTCTGTGAGCGGATAGTTAGAAGCAAGAAAAGAGCTTACTACCCTTACATAGGATCAAGTCTTCCAACAGACTTGAACTTCCAACAGAATGTGGATGAAGCACATTCTGGCAGGCTCATATAATTTTCACATAAGATGGATAAACCATTGCAAGTGATTTTTAAGAAATATTGAAGGAAATGGAGAGACGTAAGAAGACTAGAGATGAGCAAAGAACAAGGAACTTTGTACAAAGGAAGAGCCACCAGAAGTATAGATGATAGTAACTTGAAGTCAAGGCAAGACAAGGTCTTCAAGTGATGGCTTGTGTATTCCTAGTAGAAGAAACAGCAGTTCCCAGGAGTCAGAGCAGATTAGGTCTATTGCTTTCCATTTCTTCTTGCACGGAGTCAGTAATTGGACAGGGAAATATGGCATGCATAATGTATTTTTACTTCAACAAACATTTAATAATGTCCTTGTGGACAATGTGGTGACATGTGGGCTGTATGTGGGCTTACAAACAAGCTGAATGACTATGCACGGTTGACATTAACTCACTAACAATTATTAATGAGTTGAAATCAAATCCAAGAATATGCATGACATGGATCCCTGTCCACAGTCATCTTCAGTTTAACATATTCATCAATTGGTGATTAAAATATATAGAGGGCAAAATAATGGAGGAAAAAACACACAGGAAAAAAATTGATGATGGAATTTGGAAGGAATACTGGCTAGATTGGATGAAATACCAGTACAGGAAAGTACCAACTCCCCCATCCATCTCCAGAACTGTATTTTCTCTTCAAAACAAAACAAAACAAACCGAGATAATTAGTCTGCAAAGATGTCATTAAAAAAAATGTTTCTGAGTTATGCACAAAGATGGGATCTTAATGCCTTAATTTGCATTTTTATTACTTGAAAGAGAGCATTTGATCAAAGTTTTATTGATCATCTGTAATCATGTTTTACATGTGATTTACCTTTTTATAGAATTGGCACATTTTGCTATGGAGGTCTGTCTTAATTAATTTGTAACACTCTCTATATGTTAACTTCTTATCTAGATATTTTACCCAGTTTGCCATTTGCCTTTTAATCTTGCTTATGGTAGTTTTTGGTATAAAAAGTGCATGCTTTTTAAATTGGTTAAATCTCATTCTCTTATTTTAAGGTTTCTATGCTAACAAATATGTTTAGAAATTTCTTACCCCCTTTAATACTAGGTAAATATTCGCTAACATTTCCTGATCCTTTTAGGTTTCAGTTTAAGCCTTTAATCCATCTGGATTTTATTTTGTATATGATATAAGCTCTAGTGGTCAAAATTAATTGATTCTCAATGGTTAGCCAATTTTCTCAGCACTAGTTATGAATAATTTATCATTTTCCCAATGATCTGAAACAGTATCAAAACAACAACAACAACAACAACAAAACAATAATTAACAATAGCTAACATTTGCTTGTTGCTTATTCTGTGCCTGGCACTGTTTTAGCTTGTACTAACTCATTGATTTCCCACACTACCTAGCAGTGGGTAGTATTGCTGTAATTCCCATGTTATTACAGCATCCCTCAGCATGGAGACTGAGGCACAAAATGGATGCAGAGATTGGACAAAGTCACACAGGCAGTGGTGGTGTTTAGATAAAGACTTGGACATCTGACTCCAGTATTCAAGCTTTGAAAGTATTTGATATACTTGGATTTGTTTCTAGGCTATTTTGTTGCAGTCTATTTATTCTTATACTAATACTGCACTGTTTCACATCTTGCAATTCAAGTCACTCTCCTAATATTTTTTTATTTGCTAATTCTTCACTTAATCACGGCTTCTCCTTCCATTTTATAATTTAGCTTCTTGGCTGGGCACAGTGGCTCATGCTTGTAATTCCAGCACTTTGGGAGGCTAAGGTGGGCAGATCACCTGAGGTCAAGAGTTTGAGACCAGCCTGACCAACATGGCAAAGCCCTGTCTCTACTAAAATGCAAAACTTAGCTAGGCATGGTGGAACGTACCTGTAATCCCAGGTATTAGGGAGACTGAGGCAGGAGAATCCCTTGAATCTGGAAGGTGGAAGTTGCAGTGAGCTGAGATCATCCCACTGCACTCCAGTCTGGGCAACAAAGCAAGACTCTGTCTCAAAAAATAATAATAATAAATAAAAATAAAATAAGTAATATAGTGTCTTAAAGTATCAAGGCCATTTTTCTTCTAAAGACTAAAAGCAACCAAATAACATATGCCATGTTTTCTAGAAAGACTCTTGGTAGCACTTTTTGAGAGTTAGTAACTGCCCTTGGGGTTCTGCTTGCCTGCTGCTAGACAGAGCCGATTTATCAAGACAGAGGAATTGCAATAAAGAGTTTAATTCACACAGAACTGAGCTGTATGGGACACTGGAGTTTTGTGATCACTCAAATCACTCTCCCTGAAAACTCCACATCAGGTTTTAAGGATAACTTAGTGGGTAGGGGGTAGGGGACCAGTGAGTCAGGAGGGCCGATTGGTTGGGTTGGAGATGAAATCATAGAGAGTCGAAGGTGTCCTCTTGCATAGTCAGTTCCTGGGTGGGGGCCACAAGATCAGATGAGCCAGTTTATGGATTTCCCTAGTGCCATCTGCTTCAGGGTCTGCAAAATATCTCAAGCACTGATCTTAGGTTTTACAATAGTGATGTTATCCCCAGGAGCAATTTGAGAGGTTCAGAATCTTGCAGCCTCCAGCTACAGGACTCTTAAACCATAATTTCTAATCTCATGGCTAATTTGTTAGTCCTGCAAAGGCAGTCTAATCCCCAGGCAGGAAGAGGGTTTGTTTTGGGAAAGGGCTGTTATCATCTTTGTTTCAAAGTTAAACTATAGGCCTGGGTGCAGTGGCTCTCAGCACTTTGGGAGGCTGTAATCCCAGCACTTTGGGAGGCTGAAGGGGGCTGATCATGAGGTCAGGAGTTCAAAACCAGCCTGACCAATATGTTGAAACCCCATCTCTACTGTAAATACAAAAACTAGCCAGCCAGGGTGGTGTGGGCCTGTAGTCCCAGCTACTCAGGAGGCTAAGGCAGGAGAATCTCTTGCACCCAGGATGTGGAGGTTGTAGTGAGCCGAGACCGCATCACTGCACTCCAGCCTGGGCAACAGAGCGAGATTCCATCTCAAAAAACAAACAAACAAACAAAAAAACAAAAAAACAAAAAAAACCCCTATAAACTGAGTTCCTCCCAAAGTTAGTTCAGCCTACGCCCAGGAATGAACAAGGACAGCTTGGAAGTTAGAAGCAAGATGGAGTCAGTTAGGTCAGATCTCTTTCACTGTTACAATTTTCTCAGTTATAATTTTTTCAAAGGCGGTTTCAAGTTCTGCAGGGCTGTTTAACACAAGGTGTATTCTATGGCTCCTCTTACTAGTGCCAGGTACTATATAGAGCTTCCAATAGAAATGCACTGCTCTTAACCTGGCTATAAAGACCTGAGCTGTACTTAACCACTCCCCACCTTGGTTCCTTAAAGAAATAATAATAATAATACCCAATGTAAAGGCTGGTTAGGAGACTGAGTTAATATATGTGAGATGTTTAGAACAGTGTATGGCACAAGGAAAATTCTAAATAAGTGTTTGCAAATTAAAATGAAATTTTTGCTCTAATCTAGAACATGATCCTCTAAGTCAGTCACTTGGCCCAAATGTGCAACTCAGATGTGGGTGTTTTTTAGTTTATAATCAGGTATCTCTTTCCCTGGAGTTGGCATATGATGGTCCCAAAACAGAAAGTATGTCTTTCATAGTACTTTTACATCAATTTTCTTATTTTATCCTCTCAGTAAACCTGCTGAGCAGGGCAGAGAGGTTCAATCCTTGTTGAGGTATAGAGAAACTGACAGGTGACTCAACAAAGGTGAGTCAGGTGACAAACAACAGGTGACTCAACAAAGGATATTCTTTTGCTATATCTGACCATCAGGGCTATCAGTTTTGGAACCCAAATTCAAATAATGTCATAATGACTTCTCCCTCCATGCAAAAAAGAATGTCCCATAAAAATCCATCACATGTAATTAACTCGGGAAAGGACCAACAAAAACCTAGCAAGTTGCATCGTATTTGTATGCTCAACAAGATCAGCTTTTTTCTCTTTTGTAACTTTAACATGGTCTGGTTTTACACTTCCTTTTCAGAAATACCCTGTAACTGTAATTTCCTGAGGCTGCATATCCACAGGGCCAACTCAGGGGACACACAGGCATGCTGGGCATTCTTGGAATTCTTTGTTAAATGGGGCCAAGCTCTGGGTTAAAATGGAATGAGCACAGTGGGGTGTGTGCCTCCTGGGAGGTGGTGATGCCATGCACTCTGGGCTCAGCATGTGGTTTTGTCCCACAGATTCGTCACTCACCCTGCTGCAGATGGTGGGTGTTGGACTGGGCTCCGTGGCTGTTGTGATCATTCTCACATTCCTCTCCTTCTCAGCGGTGTGGTATGTGAGGGTGTCATTTTTGAGAAATGAGTGGAATGGAGGGGAGGATGGATTCGAGTCGTGAAGAACAGCTGGGGATGAGGGGAGTCAAAAGGGGTGTGGGTGGAAGTTGTCCTTGGCTCAGCAGAGCACACTCAGTGGTAAAGATATGGTACCTCCAGGTAGCGCAGGGGATGCCTTCCCAGGAAAAGGGCAGGACCAATGATGGCTGCCCTGGCCACACACAGAGGGGTGGCTGAGCTTCCCTGCTGCTTCCCCTTGCCTCCTCCCAAGAGTGTGCATGTGAGCTGTGCGTAGAGATGCTCAGTGGGAAAACGAAAGTGTGTTCATATTTGTCTCTTTTCTTTTCCTCCTCCATGTCTAGATTACAGATGGACACTGCCTGGGGAGGATGCACTGCTGCTGGGGCAGGTGTTCTGACAGCTTCTCAGGCGCCTGCACAGAGGCCCCATGTGACTTCTATCCAGGGAGCACGTGAGCCTGCAACTTTCTCCATTCCCAGCTTGGCCCCATTCCTGGATCAAGATGGTGGCTATCCCTGTGGGGGTCCCCCAAAAGGAGAAAACTCAAGAAGACTGAGTATTCCCTACTATGGGACTAGTTTTGTGCAATGAACTTGAGACTCCTGATGTACAGTGTGATATTGACCAAAGGCTACAGATCTGTGGATCTTGGCTGGGACCTCCTCTGAGAGATACCTGAGGGTCAGCTCCTCTAGACATTGACTGCAAGAGAATCTCTGCAACCTTCTACATAAGCATCTCTGTTAATTCATTCAGAATCCATTCTTTACAATATGCAGTGAGATGGGCTTAAGTTTGGGGGAGAGTTTGACTGTATGAGGCAGGTCATTGAAAAACAGAGCAGTCACGTAGGCAAATGTTTCAAGCACTTTAGAAACAGTTCTTTTCCTACAATTAGTTGATATACTAATGAGAAAATATACCAGTCTGGCCATGCCAATAAGTTTCCTGAGGTGTCTGTTAGGCAGCATTGCTTTGATGCAATTCCAATTGTCCTATATTCAAAAGTAATGTCTGAATTCCAGTAAAAATATCCTGTAACTAAGACTGTTCTTTCCTTGGTTAATTATTTTGTTACCAAGCATCTTCTAAAAATGCTCTGTGCCCCCTGTTAGAAATTGGGATTTGGTGGGAGTGTAGTAACAGTGGCTTAAAACAGTATTGCACCCATGGCCAGACTAGAGTCCACATGTGTTTCAGGGGAGGGCTGCAATAGGGGGTGAAACTTTTTAATCTAAACTTCAGTAACCATGACTGTTGTTAGAAGTAAAACTGCTTGGTGCCGCAAAGTGGAACTAACACTTAGGCAAAAGCTTTCTCAGCAAGGCAATTTACTTCTATAGAAGGGTACTTCTTACATGCAAGGCAGAGGCAAGGGATATCACTCAGAACAAAGCGAGGCAAGAGTTTTTATCTTTAATGCAGACTTTGCTCTTGTGTCCTCCTCCTGTGAGCTGGGGTCAGACTGCACAATTTAGGCTAATTCTGATTGCTATTGCTTGACATCATCAAAGGAGGCAAGGGTGGGCTTTTGACAGGAAGGACAGGTACATAGGTGATGGGAAATGCTTAGGTGTGTTTAGTCACAGCAGAGATAAGGAGGCTGATAGATGAATGGGTAAGATTACTTTTTAGAATAGAAAAAAGAACTAGAGCGCAGTGGCTCAAGCCTGTAATCCCAGCACTTTGGGAGGCCGAGGCTGGGTGGATCACGAGGTCGAGAGATCAAGACCAACCTGGTCAACATGGTGAAACCCCATCTCTACTAAACATACAAAAAATTAGCTGGGCATGGTGGTGTGTGCCTGTAATCCCAGCTACTCAGGAGGCTGAGGCAGAAGAATTGCTTGAACCCAGGAGGCGGAGGTTGCGGTGAGCCGAGATCGCGCCATTGCACTCCGGCCTGGGTAACAAGAGCAAAAACTCCGTCTCCAAAAAAAAAGAAAAAAGAACTAGAAACTAGAAACTGAAACCTTTTGAAAAGGAGCTATTTTCTGCATTGTACCCAGAAGGGCCTTCAAGACCAGCCCTGGCAACACAGCGAGACCCCATCTCTGCAAAAAAAATTTTTTTTAGTTAGCCGGGGATGGTGGCATGCACTTGTAGTCCCAGCTACTCGGGAGGTGGAGGCAGGAGGATCACTTTGGCCCAGGAGTTTGAGGTTGCATTGAGCCATGGTCACACCACTGCATTCCAGCCTGGGTGACAGAGTGAGATCCTGTCTCCAAAAAAATTTACTAAAAAAGCAAAAATGTGGACTTCAGCATTTCCTCTAACTGCTGCAAATGACAACACAGAATTGCTCAGTGTTAATACTTGAATTGTGGGGCCAAGTCTTCTGGCTGTAGTAGTTCTCTTTTCTAACATTTGAAAGCCCTTGAGCTAGCTATGGAACTAATCTTGGGACAGACTTTTTGGTTCTCAGGAATTTCAGGCCTTTGAATTTCCAAATTTTATATATATATATATATATATATATATATATATATATATATATAATGTGTGTGTAAGTATACCTGTCTTTTCACTGTAAGGCACCTTCACCCATCCCTTCTAGAAGCAGCCACAAACAACCAAGCAAATGCGTGGAGGTTAAAGGGGGAAGAGGTGATAGTCTGTTCTCTGACTCAAGTCCTGAAATTGCAGTGGGGTGCTTAAGGTAAGATCAGAGCAGAAGTGATTATCTTGAAATTTCACATTAGCTTGGAATAAAGTTAATATTTAAATTGATTTTTAAAGGAAATAAAAAGAATCCTCAGTGCTCCCTTTTCATTGCTGATCTCACATTTTGATTTTCTAAACCTTCTGTTTTCCCATTCTGTTCTTCTAAGAGGAATGCAACGGTCTCATAGAAGTCAATCAAATAGCATTGTAAGAACCTTTTGCCTACCACATCCTTTGTTGGTTAGACTGAACCAACAAAGCAGTGTCTGCTTCTGGGGAGGGAGGATGTGGCCTTTTCTGTGCCCCAGTTTGTGCGAGGGCGATCCAATGGAGCAAGTCAATTTAAAAGGCAGTGGGTGCTCTTGTTTCAGAGAGAGTGAATCATTGTGGTGGTGGGGGAGTGTCTGTGTGGCGGTGTGGGGAGGGGTTGCACATCTAGATCCATACTTTTTGGCCTCAACTCAGCGTTACGAAAATAGAGTCAAACTCAACTCAGGGTTACCCAAATGGAGTCAAATTGTGTGTGATTTTGTGACATGATTCTTTCACTCATCAGCATTTCCTGGATACATGCTTTCCAGTCACTCATGACCGCATTATAAGTTTGTACCATAATTCACTTAACCAATACTCTGTTGTGCACTTAGAATATTTTTCACATGTTTATTGTTCTTATACAAGTCTGTATAAAGGTATGCAGTTATCACTTAGGCCACATTCCTGGAAGTGACATTGTTGGAATAGAAACTACGTACACTTTTCACTGGAGTGCAGATTGCTGGGAGAGTTTCACGCAAAAATTTATACCGGTTTACACTCTCACCAGCAGAAAGCCTCAGTGCTGCTGAGTGCTGTTGTATTACCAATCTCAATTAATCTGGTAGGTGAAGAAGGATGTTCAATGTTTTGTCTGCATCTCTCTAATTATTTTACTTGTTGATTGGCCAATTGTAATTCTTTGTGAGTTGTCTTTTTCTCAGTACTTGGTCTGTTCGTCTTTCATTGATTTGAAAAAGCTCTTTATATTTTAGTAATTTAAATTCCTAACTGTCATATATTTTGTAAACAATTTTTGTGGTTTGTAATTTCTAGAAATGATAACCTTGTTTTTTTTCAAACCTTGTTTGTACTTTATTTTGCCACACAAAAATTTTAAATTCGTATGATCAAAATTTGTCAGTCTTTTCCCTTATGTTAGACCTTCTAATCTCAAGGTAATAAATATAATCTAGCATTTTTTTAAATATTTAAATGTGTAATCCATCTAAAATTTATTTTAGGATAGGGAGTAAGGCTGGGGAAAGTCTTTTTAAATAAAAAATCATTGCTAAATGGTTGTCTAGTTGTCCTATTAATAGTCATTGAGACCAAGGGCGGTGACTCATACCTGTAATTCCAGCACTTTGGGAGGCTAAGGTGGGAGGATCACTTGAGGTCAGGAGTTCCAACTAGCATAGGCAACATGACGACACCCCGTCTTTACAAAAAATAAGAATTAGCAGAGGCCAGGGGTGGTGGTTCACGCCTGTAATATCAGCCCTTTGGGAGGCCAAAGCGGGTGGATAGGCCAGGTGTTCAAGACCAGCCCTGCCAACATGGTGAAACCCTGTCTTTAGTAAAAATATGAAAATTTGCCAGGTGTGGTGGTGGGTACCTGTAGTCCCAGCTACTCAAGAGGCCAAAGCAGGAGGATTCTGGGGAGGTTGAGGCTGCAGTGAGCCATGGTCATGCCACTGCACTCCAGCTGGGTGACAGAGCAAGACCCTGTATCCGAAAACAATTAATTGACTGTTTTTTTTCTGTTAGTAATTTGAAATCTTATACTGAATCATATACTAAAGTTTATTTCTGAACTTCTTTTGTTCTACTGATCTATTTAAAGGTACACCTACTGTACCATTAAATTAGGGTTTCTTTATACCAAGTAAGAATAAATTACCATTATTTTCCTGTTAATTCCTTTTTATTTTGGGGACAAGGTCTCACTCTGTCATTCTGTTACTCTGTTGCCCAGGCTGGAGTGCAGTGGCGCGATTGCAGCTCACTGCAATCTCGGCCTCCTGGCTTCAAGTGATTCTCCCTCCTCATCCTCCTCAGTAACTGGAACTCCAAGCGTGTGCCACCACACCCGGTTAATCTTTGTCTTTTTAGTAGAGAGGGGCATTTTCCCCTGTTGGCTAAGCTGGTCTGACCTCAAGTGATCCTCCCGCTTCCACCTCCCAAAGTGCTGGGATTACAGAGGCTGGCCTGAGTATTCTAGCTTGTAACTTACAAGGTCATTCATATGTATATGCTGTTGTGTTTGTCTAGCTATTTTATATTTTGTTATTCTGAACTCTTGACGTCCATCTCAGCTCCAGTCTCTAAAAGCACAGGAGTACTTTTGCTCTGCCAGTCTGCCTTTTTTGGGAAATCACATCAAGATGGCTCCTCCAGCACATTTACTTCCTGGAGTGTCTGCTTGACTCACGGAAACTCACAAATTTTTGGCATAGCAGAGGATTATCCTGCCATTACTGCTGGCGCCAGCCGCAGACTTCAGTTTTCTTACCTGTTAGAGCCTTTGTCTTCTGACTGGTAGAAATGGAGCTTGCTTCTTTTTGTTTTGCCCTGCCGCTATGCTGGCAGCCTCCTCCTCTTGACCCTTGGGTTTCTTATCCTTAGAATCAGATACAAGGCCCTAAGTCTTCTGATGCTGTAGAATACACAAGTCATATTCTCTGAGTGGAGATCTCTTTGAAGCTCCTCTTTCCAGGCTTGTACTGAGGGACCTATGGACCCTCCACCATGTGGTGCCGAAGCTACCAGAAGCTGTCGCATGCTGGGTTTGTAAGCTGACTTTCTCACCTTTGACCAGATATACTCGGCACAGCGATTTGGCAGAGGGAAAGGGCACCGTTTCTTTGGGTCCATGGGCATGTGTCCCATCCCCTACCCTTGGGGTTAGCAGGATTCAGAATTTGTGAGCTTAGTCTGCAAAAGTCTTCCTCTCCAGATGGAGCAGAAGCTAATGCATGGACCTGAAGAGTTAGCTCTGTGCTTTAGTTCCTGGGATTGGCCATCTTGAGTCTTGGTGGGCTTGGTAAATAAGGAAACATTGAGCAGATTCAAAGCTTCCAGAGGTGGTGAGAACTCCAGGGACCAGTATTGGAGAGCACAAAGGTCCATCTTAGTCCCCATGACCCTTCCAAGCCAAGAACTTGGCAGTAGCTGTGAGTAGCAGAGATAGGCAGAGGCAGTGGGTGGCACCTATAGCTCTTAGCCATGAGTTATGACTCTCTCCATCCAAGGGAGACATGAAAAAGGACTCAGTTCCAATGATCAGAGGGATCTTGGGTTGTTTTGGGATAATTACTGTGGCTCAGGATGTCATGGAG